CTCCCCGGAGCTTCTCTTCTCCTTCCGTTTCAGGTCCCTGTTACTCAGTTCAGAGGCAAGATCATCGATAGTTAAGACCGGCCAGATTGTGCATCATCAATACCCATTTGGTAAATTTGGCTTTCAAGGCAGGCTTTTTCAAAATAAAAGCAACTAAGTGGTTTTTGGTAACACCAAGGACCAAACTGCTTTCTATATATCTTCTCCATACATGTGTCAGACCACAATATTGGCTTATATAGCACAAAATATTATTCTTTGCCTATCATTTCCTATCAATCACTATAAAGCTATCACATTGTATGTCTAAATAATATATGGTCCACAAATATAACATATGCAGCGAAGTCCTTGTAGAGCAGAGATTAAACAGGTTAGGGATGACAATTTTCTCCATCCCAACATGGACCTGACTTTCCCGACCTGATGGGATTGGGGATGTGAATTGTTTTGGTGGGGTGGGGACGGGGATTAATAGGAATCCCCGATAGGGGTCAGGGTCGGGGATGGAGATTGAGATCCCTGCTCCACCCGACCCCGATTATATATATATTTAAAAAATTATTTATAATTTAAATTTTTTATTTATTTTAAATAAATACTGTTATCTAAAAAATTTTTGGGGTTTGGGTCCCCACGGAAAACGCATCCCTATCAGGAATCGGGAACGAAAACGAGAGTTAATTTCATAATCGAAGTCAGGAATGGAGAATATAATTCCCGCCCCGTTGCCATTCCTAAAACAAGTAGAGTGCATATTTATAACACTTCACTGAACAAGCAATAAGCAAATGCAGAAGCGCATGTATCAAGATCGCACAAAATATTGTAAAACAAATAATACAGCTATATGTCCATTGAAAACACAAAAGCAACCAAATATGTACAAATCCAATATCACAAATAGATGTCAAACTCGCAAAAAAAAATGATGTATAACCAAAATATCTATGTAAGGAAAATCGCACAATAAAATATATATAGAAAGGGGTATCATCAAAATACCGCCTTAATTTATCATCTAATTCATGGCATTCAGTTTTAACAAACAACTTAGTTGCATTTTTATTTTTTAAGTTTAATTTCAATATTCCCTTTGCATTATGGGTTCATTTTCTAGCTTGATTCTTTAGGCTGTGTTTGGTTTGAAGGAAAAAGTAAAGAAACCCATACAAGGTTTCACTTCCTTTCCCTACTCTTTGGTGAGAGAGTTCAACTCATCATTCAAATTCGTGGACTTCATTAAGTAGCATTATTAGAGACAGTTCAACTCATCATTCTTTACTTACGAATATTTGTTGCACATTAACTCAATATTTTAATCAATTATGCATATTAACGACATCACATGATCTAATTACTTTTCATTCATTCACATTTTGCAAAGTGTACTTATCATCTAGACTAACAATGTTGAAGATGTCAATTGTAATGTATTGTTTTATGACTTTATCACTTCACATTTTCTGCTTTATAGTTCATGCACCATAGATTTTGCTTAAATTAGACATGCACTATATTTCTTTCTATAGCATTTTCTTTGCATTTTAAGCCAAGAATTTTATTTTAAGGAAAATTACCAATCAGTACCATGTACTTTGGCTCAAGTGACAATTTGGTCCCCGAACTTTAAAATGCGACGATCTAATACCCAAACTTTCAAAGTGTGACAATCCAATACCTATCATTAACTAGTCCATTAATCAGCCGTTAAGTGACATTTGAAAAGTCAAAATTGCCCTTTGAATGCCATCTAATTCTCTTTATCAACCATCCAAACATTGACAAAAAACTAAACAGTCCCAAATCCTAACCTCTTCTATTCAAAAAAGTTGGTGAGTGTTTAGAAGAATCTAGAATTTGGGATTGTTCATTTTATTGTCAATGTTTGGATGGTTGATAAAGAGAATTATATGGCATTCGAAGGGCATTTTTGACTTTTCAAATGTGACTTAACAGCTGATTAACGAAATGTTTAACGGCAAAACTACATTGTCACATTTTGAAAGTTCGGGTAATGGATTGTCGCATTTTGAAAATTTGAATACTGTATTGTTGCATTTTAAAATTTGGGGACTAAATTGTCACTCGAGCCAAAGTACAAATCAGGAATTTTCCCTTTAATTTAAACTGCTTGTTTGCATAGTCAACCATTCATTTTGGTCTTTGTCAACTTGCATTATTTTCTTGCTTTTCATATCTTCTTTCTTCACCATTTAGATCTCATTATAATCGAATTTAGACTCCTTTATAGCAATAATGGTTGGGAAAAGCAAAAAAAAAAAAAAAAAAACAAAAGGGTCCTTAATATCATTTGGAAAGTTGAAATCTCTTTTTGCTCATCTAAACCTCCGAGTACAGTGAAATTGTTAGGTATTTGAATGCGGTAACCTAGAATGGTTTATTTCACAATTTGCTCTTACATTAGTGTAAGAGCATATGTTATAAGTGTTTGCAAGTTAGCATTAGTGATATGTGATGCATGCAGTATTTGGATTTGACTTATTATGACTTGCACGGAATCAAAGGCAACTATCTGTTTTATATATTATAGATAATTATAAATGTTTACATTAATTATTAATTTATAATTAATAGAATGATTGATTAATCAAAAATTAAATATAAGTACTAAAATAATTTAATGGCAATCAGTAAATTAGTAAAAATAATATAATATTTAATAAATAAATAATAAAAATATTAATTATTTTTAAATTAAGTAATTATATTTGTTATTCATTCAATTGATTTATTAATTGTTTTACTATTTTCTTAGTTATCTAGTTATTTGGTTAGCTAGATCACTATTTCTGTTTAAACTTCAAGATTTTATTTTTATTTATTTTTTTTGAATTATCTAATAATTAATTATTTATTTAATCATTTGAAAATTTTCTTAACTAATTAATTTTTATTTATTTATTTATTTATATCTCATAATT